GAGACTGAATTGGAATGCAAGTTGGATGGAGAAGGGCCTTCGGCCTGGTCAATTTTGGCGTCTCATTCCCAACTGAGTATTTGTTGCCAGGATGGGGAATTTGCAGAGCTTGATTTCATAAGAGTTCCGCAAGCCTTGCCACGCAAAACAGCATCGTGTGTGTGGAGTGCGCTCAACTTAGGGGCAGGGGGCCTTGGGCCAGGTAGCTTGCGCACGCTTGCGCAGTTTCCATGTGTTTTGGTTACTTGCGACCAAGCAACAGCCAACATCAGACTGCTCAAGCACCTCCATGCAACATTGCCCGAGAAATGTTTTTTGTTGCCAATGTTATGCGCGCAGCATCGAAACGGCAACGTTGTGGAACGCATTACGAAACTGCTAGGCATTCTGCCAGGTTGCTATTGCGTTGCAAAAGTTTGTAGCAAGGGTAAACAGTTCAAAGATTTGAAGGAAGCTGTTAGGAAACAATTGCAGCGTGACTTGGTTGTGATGGAGGCAGAGCCGCCAGGTTTGCAGGCTGAGTGGTCTGCTGCACGTGAGCAAGCCAAGTTGTTCTTGACTTTGATGCTGCAAGGCTTTGCTGACGACAGCTCATCAGCACGGCGGGGTGTGACATCCCGCGTGAATGCCTTTGTGGAGTTCTTCAGCGGCCCGTGGACAGGACCGATGGGGTGGGTGCTGCAATGCTTGCTTCTGTTTGAGTTTGTGAAGGTTGTGAGTCTGTTCTGTGAAGAGTCCTGAGCATTTTGCAATCAGTTAGCGTAGAATGTAGTCAGAATGTAGTCAGCAGGCAGGAGGCATGCATGGTCTGGTGTGGCAGTGCAGTTGCAGCTTGTTACCTGAGCCTTAAATCCAAACGTGTTGTGTTGCGTGCCGGAGTGTTGTTTGATCAAGGGGTTTCTGAGAAGAGCCGAAGAGCTCGTTTGAGCTTCTTGGAGCCATGACCTCAGCGACACTCTTGGGCATGTCGGATTCTGGCTTGTTGGCGTACCTCTCCAGGGAAGGTCTTGGCTCGGTCTTTGACCCTTGTGACGGACGTCATGCAGTCTTTGCCGGCCTTCGGCCAGGTGATGACATGCAACCAGCCGATGCCCGAGCTGCTGTCAAGGATTGCTGCCACGCGACGCGTATGGTGGCGTGGATGCACTTCGCTGGGCACGCGACACCTACAACCAGAGGACAGGCTGTTTGCTAGACACACTCTGTTTCTGCCCTGTTCCCCAGCCCAAGCTCATAATAATTACAATTAGGCCCCACGTATATCCAGAAAGTGATGTTTTAGGTGTTTATGCTTGGTTGATTGCCCCTCTGAAGTATTCACATGTCTTGCGTAAGCTTTTTAAGGAAAAAGGCTTTGAACCTTAGTCGCAGGCATCCTGCCCATGTGATCCTCGACATGACGAATGAGTGGGGTTCCAAGCTCTGGCTGGGCGGCTCCGTTGCAGGTAGAGATGCCAACCTCCTCCTGAAGAACAACATTGGTGCTGTTTGGGCAGCGTGTAGCAGCGTGGAGCCAGGAGACACCGCCGCGGTGAAGGTGCTGCACTACCTGGCTGGGACAGGAGTTGTGCATGGCGCCCCTGACTTTGACATGGTCATGAGCTTCGTCGACACGGTGCTGAGCAGCCTTTACCGAGGGACGTCAATCCTTGTGACGTGTCATAATGGGGCACATAGGTCCGCGACTCTTACAGCGTTAATCCTCATGAGGATCACTGACATGTCTGCGACTGAAGTCAACACCTACCTCACGAGCCTTAGAAACATTGTGGACCTTTCCAGCAGAGCTCCACCAAGTGCGAGAAGGGTGACCACAAGGCGGCCGATAGACTTTTTGGAGAGTGCGCGGGCTTTGTAGCCGGGTCAAAGAAGGCGAAGCTGCGTCTGCCACCAACACCTCCTGAGGTGCGCGCCTTCTGAGACAAAGATTGCCTTGAAGCCGAAGAGCTTCAACGCCTTGAAGCCGAAGAGCAAGACACGACCTCGTCCCAGGGCCAGGGACCCAAGCCACTCTGATGTGGGCGCCACCGATGCAACAGAGTCCGCCTTCGAGGTCCTCAGCAGCGAGGGTGAGAAGGAAATGGTTGAAATCGAGGTCCCAGTGGCGACCGAGGACGAGGGCTTCTTCACTGAGGCGACCGATGGTGTTTGGCCTGAGACTTCAGACGGTGACTATGAGCTGGTGAGTGAGAACGCTCTGAACAACTTCAACCCAGAGAGTCCTCCAATGACGCCGCGCGCCAATTGGACGGAGGAAGACTTTGCCCGGTTGTCCAACGTGATGGCGGATTTGCAGTCCTTGAACCAGAAACTTCTGGCCTTCGTTCCTGACGAGCCTGAAGATGCTGAGGAGGTTTCTGTGGAGGCTGCGGAGGCTGAGCCTGCTACGCGGGCCTTTGGCCAAGTCACGTTGGAAGGTCCGGGTGCTAAAGTCGCGGCCTCTGGCCAGGTCTACGAGGTTTCCCTTTCTCCCACCGAAGAGGAGCCCAGCCCCGCTGAAGCGCCAGCTCCAGCTTCCAGTTCCTGTGGCTTGGTTTTTAATAATTTAGGCCAAGCGCAAATTTGTTGAAGGCGTTAGGTTCATACAAGCGCATGGTGCGGCCATGTTTGGTTGAGGGCTTGCGTCAAGGTTTCAGGATTTGGAAGTAGGGGTGTGCAGCATCATCGTAACCGCAATGGAAATGTTAATCATTTTATTCATTTAGCATCATCCAGTGCAGGATTTGTGGTTTCCTCAGCCTCAGCCTATTCCAGCGCAGTTTAAATAAGGATGTGAATTCATCGGCCCAGGTGCTGCCGGTCTTGACCAAGCCGTTCCGGCCTTCGGCCAGGTCGAGACAGTCGACGTGCAGGAGGAGAAGGAGGAGGGAAGCAAGCCGGATGGCGGCGGCGGGGGCGGCAACGTGGACGAGCCTGACGAGCTTCAGAAGACGATCCAGGCGATCCAGGAGCTGCGAGAGTCGGATGACAAGGAGGCGTTGTCAAGACTCTTCTCGTTGCTGGAGTCGCAGAAGGTCCAGCAGCAGGCGATCCTGTCCAGGATGCAGTCGAGGCAGCAGCAGGAGGACGCCAAGGAGGAGATCATGGCGGCTGTGTGCAACCGTGATCTTCCTAAGTTGCGGCTCCTGCTCCAGCAAGTGTCAGACTCCGCCGTGGTCTCTATGAGAGACGAGGAAGGCATGACGCTGTGCCACCACGCCGTCAGGCTCGGCATGTACGACCCTCAAAACCACGTAGTGACGCGTTGGCGATGAGTGGTGGTGCCGGCTTGCCCACTTGTTGCACCGGTTGCCCAAACAGGCTGCTCCCCTGCTCTGCCTTGTCAAAAACCTGCATCAGATCTCTGCATTGACTGGGCCGTCATCCCAGGTGTGGAGCTGAGTACCTTTTGACATCGCTGGGAGTTTAGGGTCAGTGCATGAGAGTGCGAGCAGGGCTGCCTGCCTAGCTTTAGCCACAGGGCAGGAGCAGATCATTTGGAGCTGGTGAGAAAATCCGAGAAGCTCTCAAAGATGTTCTGCAGGTAGTTTCCAAGTCTCTGTTGATGCAGTTCATGTCTGGTTGAGCTGTGGCTGTGACATGTGAGAGACATGAAATTGAATTGACTTGAAACCAAATGCCTTGTCATGTTGAGTTTGACAGCTTTTTCCATGAGACTGAAACTTGCGTCAGTGCCATGTCATGTCAATGTACTATCAAGGCTTCGCTTCACCGCCGTGCCAAAACAAACATCTCAAACCGTTGTCTAGAATGAGTGATGCAAATACCCTGCATGTTTGAAACCACAGCCGAGCGAATCGTTTTGGGAGGAACCGTTTTCGGGACAATCAGCAGGAAGAGAAGTCCCCGTAGAGCTTGACTCCAGTCCAAGTCTGTGAAATGAGAACCGTTTTGGGATAATCAGCAGCAAAAAGAAGTCCCTGTTGAGCTTGGCTCCAAGAAGCTTGCATCCAGGGTCGTAAACTCTAGGCGCAAAGCTGCAACAGCTGATGTTGCGACTTAGGGTTGAGAGCTGCGTGCGCTTGTTAAGTGTGATTGTGGCGCGCTTCTTGTAAGGCAGGCTGTCTGCACAAAGCGTGCGTGATGAAGTTAGGCAGGAGCCACGGGCCGCGTGCCCTTTGTATGTAATAAAGGCTTCACCCTTCGCACCCGTTTGTTGCCATGAACAAAAATGCATCCCATTTGCAGGCGATGATGAACAATTGCGCTCTTGAGTGCACTTCCCATGAGACGATCTCCTCTTCAGGCGAATACGATCAAGTGGCAAGCATGACTGATGTTGTGAGTGATAGTGAGCATTATCGGAGAGTGTGTTCTGGTAGTGGGCGCAATGGGCAATTTGGCTGTGAAGTTTGGCTGTCAAAAAATGCCGGATTTGATTTGATTTCGATTGCCGTGATTTGCCAGGACCCTCGATGCACTTGCGTTACAGTTTCTTTTAGGGGTTGCTTGATGGCCTACATTCTTGCAAGCCAGCAATATCAATGCCGTGGTGGTGAAGGCACTGTCAAGTGCAACCTGTTGAGCACTACCTTTCAAAGTCGTAACATTGTACGGAATCACACTCAAACAGCTCCGAGAGGTCGTAGTCTCACTGGCCTCTTTGGTGTAGGGCGGCAGCCCACTGTGTGCAACGGAGGGTCCAACAACTCCAACAACGCAAGCAAATGATCCAGTGTCTTGATCTATGTGCGGCCACCGATTGTCAGCGTGCTCACTAGCTTGACATTGAGCAAGCCATAACCAAGTCATTACACCGTCCTGCAAGAGCGCATCAAAGTAGCTGTAACTAGGCATGAACCGCCAACCTTGGCACGCCAATTTCGCAAGGCAATCAGCACACTCGTTGAGCGCGTGCCCAGCATGCGCTTCGATGTGCCAAATCTGGACATCAATTCCACTCTGAATCAACAACTCATGGAGTCCTACTGCATCTCTGACTAAAGGCATGCTGCAACTCGTTTGTCCAAGCACAGCATACCCTCTTCAGTCAGTTCACCTACTAAAACAAAGGCAGCATTCCCTCTTCATTCAAGGGATCATTGAAAAGGTAATAAAAGACCTAACAGGTCTGACTTTGCAGCTTCCATATATAGAGATACATACATATGAGCCCGCCACCTTTTGGGTTAATGCGCCCTTAAAGTAAGGGCGAATAGATGCTTATGTACAATATTCCACCCAGATTATTAGAAGGCACGGTTTCACATTATTAGGAGGCAACCGAGGTTGACTTTTAGTCCAGTTGCGTGCGGACGGCTGCGAGGCCGGTTTTCAACTATTTGGGACAGCAGTGTGGCCGCAAAAGTAAACTGATTGCAAGGTCTACCAGCTTTGCCAGACCATCACCCAAGGATTGTATATCATACTTTGCTTTCTCAAGACAGCAAGTTGAGTCCATGCAACTTCACTGCTTCAGCAGAAAGATCGACCCAGGGTGGACTCGAGCCACCATACTTTGCGTCAAAGTCTGCAAGGCGAGACCATTGAGCAACGCCTTCGCCATTAGGCCACTGGGTCTCTGCTTGCTATGCCCCAAACACTCTCCTATTACTGGAGCAAGAGGGCAGGCCCGCGCGGGTAAATTTTTAGGATAAGATGTGCCCAGACGTGGCTCGACTTCGTTTTCGCTAAGATCTCAAGCGGATTGGTCACTTAGTAGAGGTTTTGGTTGAAATCGATAATTTTGGGGAGTATACTGGGCTCTGTAACCAATTTAGTGACCAGATCCTGGCCAATCGATCTTGATATGTTGCCCATTGGGAAGGGTTTGGGCGAAATCGATACCATTTCAGGATGAACTGGGCTCCGCAACCAATGTTAGTACCAGATCCTGGCAAATTGCCTTGAAACCCATCAAGGACCAATGGTATACGGCCACTCGACCTTGATTTTGCCCATTGGGAAGGGTTTTGGTTGAAATCGATACCATTTGAGGATGAACTGGGCTCCGCAACCAATTTGATTACCAGATCCCGGCAAACTGCCTTGAAAGCCATCAAAAGCCCGTGGCGGCGCGCGGGAGCAGGCGAACTCTTCCTGCTGCCTTGGGCGCTGTGGCGGACCTTGCGCCAGTCAGAGAGCAGGCGACATGCATGCATTCGGATAGGCAACAAGTGTGCTGTCACAGGTCGCGCTGCAGCGGAAGACCTTGGCGGCAAGCTTCCAGCCCCAGGCAGATGGGCAGAGTTCCAGGCGTCGCGCCGCTGGAGGCAAGGCTGAGCAAGGAGGCTGGGCAGTAGTTGGCATCAGAAGTGTTGTTCAATGCAAAAGCCACTCGGCCTTGACATTTTGCACATTTCGAGCATGGAGCAGAACAACATAACGGCATCGGCTCAATCATGGGGCCAGTAAGGCCATTACTGAAAGGATTTCGGCAATGCGGAGAAGCGAAGCTTCGACAATGCATCTAGGCGACTGCCAAAACAGAAATGGTCAGAAAAATGCATGGTTTTGTGGAAAAATAAAACGAAAACTCACATCATCTCATCACACAGCAGTAATGCAAGCTTCAGTCTCACAGAATTTGAAACATGACATGAAAAGATTTGAAAATCACCAGAATCACCCACCAGTTGTGCAAATATTTATGGAATTTGGAATTGAAGAAAAACTATTGCCACCTCTACACCAAGGACAGTTTGCCCGAGTGGTCTAAGGGGGTGGACTCAAGTTCCACTAGCGCAAGCTGCGTGGGCTCAAATCCCACAGCTGTCACCTTTCACATTGAAGATCCCGTTTGCAAAGTAAGGAACGGGCTTTAGGATTGAAGGTTTTTTTTGAGGCTCATCCTAAACCCGCAGCCTTCCTTTTGAAACCCTGTTGCTCGAATCAGGAGACACGTCTTATCGCAGCGCTGCATCCCCAATGTGTCCAGACAGTTATGTGATCACAAGAACGATAACTGCAGCCCTGCTCTTGTCAGATCTAGGCTTCTCATAAAAGGAAAGTCAGCAACCTTGCTTCGCAAGTGTACCCAATCTCCTTGCATCACTTCAGCTTGCATCTCTTCACTCTGCTCATCAAGCTGTGAAGCAAATTCCTTCGTGAAGAGATGAAGCATTCATCATCAGTGATAGCAAGGTGTTCTGCAGACTGTTGCGTGTGCAAGAGCAATCACTGTAGAAGTGATCCTGTGCAAGTACAGTCGATGGGTGTCAGTGGCGGGAGTAAGCACTTTGGCGCTCATTTCTTTGAACCATGCTTTTCAACTTTGCCACTCTGAATATTCGTGGCACGCCCAGTCACATGGTTGTCTTCCTTGCCCTTGGTGCTTTTCCGCCTTCTGCTCTCCCCACCATTGATCTCCCCAACTTTCTTGCCAGCCAAGAACTTTTTTAGAGGGAGGAACGTCCCAGAAGCTGTGACTTTAAGCAGTATGGCAACAAAAGAGAGTGCGCGATCACAGAAGGCAGAGGCGTGGACGGACGCAAGCGAGGTTCCAGCTCAAAGGCAGTTTGGCAAGGGTTTGCCGATCCAGCACCGCGTATGTACGATCACTAGAATAAAAGCTGCAAGAGTGAGTGCAGAGGAAGCACTCAAGGGGTAGCCATGCAAATTTTGGACCAATGCTGAATTTTCAGAACTGAGTCACGTCAACTGCAGAGACACGCACAAGCACTTTGATCGCTTGAGCAGGCTGGTGCAAAGTCAAAGGCAATGCTGCAGCATAGCTTCATGCAAAGATTCAAAAAATCAGAATCACGCCACACGACATGTGACATGCACAGTATCCTGGATCCTTTACTGCGACAGGCGATGTTGCAAGGATCCAGTGAACTCCTTGCAACTAGTTGAAACAGCTACTGCAGATTATTTGAGCGCAGCACACGCTCAATCTCGTCGACTCTGCGGTTTATTCGAGTGGAAATAATTGTTTGGTGCTCAAAATGGGCTTCGGCAATGCGGATCTGTTCTTCAAGGTCGCCAACGCGTTTGGACAAACGTTCTTGGACTGCTTTAACCTGGTCGATTTGGCCAGCCAGCAGATTCGTGCGATGCTGCAGACTTTCAAGCTGGGAAGCTATCCCACTGGGAGACAAGAACTGGAGCAGGGCTTTGAATGCTATCAACTTGCTGCTGCAAGTGGTTGATTGCGCTTGCACTCGGGCTGCTAGGCGCAGAGTCCTGGTCCATCCACTGTCTCCACACGAAGCCGGAGCGCAGCTTGAATTGGCCTAGAGCCAGTCCTTCAGCACCTCACTAGAGAGCCTAACAAGTAGCTACCCTCACACACACAGAGGACTCAAGGCCA